GGAACCTAGCACACTACCCTGAGGTACACCTGCTTTTATTTTTTGTAAATTTGACTCAAAATCTTCCTGTTTGACTCTGAAATGTCTATCACACTTATATGATTCCAAAATATCAGAATATTGTTTTGGCAGAAACAGCTTTAGTTTATAGTTTAAGCCTTCATGCAAAACTTTGTCAAATGCTTCCGCTACATCGAGGAAAACTGCGGAACAGACTTTTCCCTCTTCCAGCGATTTTTCTATTAAATTCGTTATTCTGTGTACTTGGTCGATCGTAGAGTGCTTGTGGCGAAATCCAAATTGATGAGTTGGAATGATTTCCTGTCTTTCTATGATCGGTTTTATTCTTTTTACGGGCAATAATGATATTGGCCTATAAGATGACACATCATGAGGTGGTTTTCCGGGTTTTGGTATCATGATAACTTCTGCAACTTTCCAAAGTTTAGGTACGTATTTAAGCCTAAAGGACGCATTGAAAAGGTTGCATAATTTCACAATAGCTTTCCTGGGGAGTTGTTTTATTACTTCCCCAGTAATTAGGTCATATCCTGGAGCTTTTTTCGGACTGATATTTTGTTTGATCTCTATTAATATTTCTCTTGGTGAAGTAGGCTTAATGTGGCCTTCTTCTTGATAGGGTTCATTCCAGGGAAGATTTCCATCCTGTGATTCGTTAGCCTGAAATGTCTTTTCTAAATGACTTGCAAAAAGTTCTACTTTTTCTTCGTTACTCCTTGCCCATTGCTGATTTGACTTTCTTATGGGTGGAATTTGGGTAACTGGTCTTAGGCCTTTAGATGCTTTCCGAAGAGAATAATCAGTGCTTTTGTCGCCGGTGAGTTCACTAAGGTAATTAATTGTTAATAGAGTCATTTTTGATTTCTTGAATTTCTCGCCTTATGCGCTGCGTCATATTGTTGACAATTGTTTTGTCATGAAGATCTCGACTTTGCTGCCATTTTCTTCTTAGTTTCCTTTTTTCTATAATAAGATCTCTAATTTCTTTTGGGTAGTTTTTTCCCTTAAAAATTCTTTTTAATTTGGGACTGTTTTCCCAAGCTGCTTGTTGAATATTAACGGTAAAACAATCGACTTCTTCATCAATTTGTTGTGGCGTTCGCAACGGTACTGATAAGTTTATCTTTTCCGACAGACTTTTTTTAAAACTAGCCCAGTCGGTCAGTTTAGGTGTTTTTTTTTCTTAATTATATATTCACTCAGAGTTAGGATTATGAAAGCTAGTAGTCCCCTATAGTGAAAAATATTTTTCCAAAAATTTCTTTGGTATCAGAATTAGGTGCTTTTTAGGTGCTGCCAAATAGTCGAAGAAAAAATAGAATTGATTAATTATTAACTGAGTTACAGATTTTTTTTTAATTATTAGGGGACTGCTGGCTTTACGTTTACTTGTTGGTGTGTCAGAATGGCAAAAAAACTCTGGGATCTATATAATAATTAGGTGATTTTTAGGTGCTAATTAGGGCCTCTAATTAAAAATTAGGTGCTCTTCTAGTTTTTGAGAAAATCAAAAAAAAACTAAGGGATTGCTAGGTTTATGAAAGCTAGTGGTCCCCTATAGTGAAAAATATTTTTCCAAAAATTTCTTTGGTATCAGAATTAGTGCTTTTTAGGTGCTCCTAAATAGTCAAAGAAAAAATAGAATTGATTAATTATTAACTGAGTTACAGATTAGCACCTGAGAAGCACCTAATTATTATATAGATCTAGGGTTGCCACTTGTGGTTGCCACCTGTCCGGTTTTCACCCGGACTGTCCGGTTTTTCAAAGGTTTGTCCGGTGTCCGGACGCATGATGAAAATGTCCGGGAATATTTGGATAACTATATAATTAATAATAATTAATACCTAATATAAAATTTATAAAAGCGATTGCCGAACGCCTTAGGATATACCCAACTAATTTCTGAAGGTTTCTATTTCTTGAATGAAGGGTGTGTCACGAACGTCTCCGGTTTCAAGTTAGCGACGGAAAAAAGTTCGTTTCTTTCCATTCAACAAACGTTATCATCGCAATTGATAAACACAAAAAAGTGGATTATGCGTGAAACTGTAACAAATTCGGAGAAAAAAGTAGTTTTTCACCATTTATTTCAAAACGAATAGATGAAGTTTCTCCTTATTTCTATTACGAACTACTATTGCAATTCTAAGCAACATATATTTTTTTCAAATTTTTTGAACTTGTAGTTTTCTCGCTACTGCAAAAACAGTTGGAAATACGCCCGTAGCTACACTGTTTAGGAAAAAATCCGACGGATGAACCTTCAAAATTATTTGCGTTGGTCGAAACTACAACCCTGTTTATGTAAAACATTCCATCGCATAATTTAACCAAATGCAGATTTCTATTTTTTTTTGACAGTCAAGTTAGGGCACACTATAGGGGCGACAGCATTGACATCTCGCGTTGCTGTAATAAACTATAGGCCTGACTTTAAACCTTAATTCATAGTTTGACAAATATTTGACAATAAAATTCATATAATAGGACAAGAGCTATGTGAAGCTGTCCCAGTTACTTTTGGTAACGATGGTATGTATTGTGTCGTTCTCCCTGTTCACTTAGAAGTGTCTTTTTTTTTCTAAATTTTAAAATAGAGCCTAACTACGAGGGATGGCGTTTGAAATTAAATAGATACATTTTTAAATTTTTTTCTAAAAATTCCTTTTACAGATATGAGTGTAAATTATGCTACAGAAAAAAGTTAGCTTTGATTATGTATGGGTTTTGGGAAATCAAAAGGTGGCAACCCTATATAGATCCCGAAGTTTTTTTTTGCCTTTCTGACACACCAAGTTAACATAAAGCCAGCAGTCCCCTAATAATTAAAAAAAAATCTGTAACTCAGTTAATAATTAATCAATTCTATTTTTTCTTCGACTATTTAGGAGCACCTAAAAAGCACCTAATTCTGATCCCTAATTAGCACCTGAAAAGCACCTAATTATTATATAGTTCCCGAAGTTTTTTTCCACCTTGGGACTGCTAGGTTTATAGACCTCGTCAGAACTGAACCACTTATATCAGACCTCTCAAGAATGGACAACAATACCTGATGGTTTACAGTGTCAAACGCTTTTTTTAAATCTAATGAGACCAAAACACACTTGAACTTTTTATCAATTCTATTGTAAATGTTATTCAACAAATCTGTTGTTGCTGAAGCTGTGCTGCTGTTTTGACTTAAGCCATATTGGCGAGGGTACCAGAAACTGGTTGAAGTTAGAAAGCCATTCAGACGATTATTGGCACAAGTCTCCAACACCTTTGAAATAGCAGTCAAAAGTGAGATCGGACGGTAGTTGTTTACTGAGGTGCTATCTCCTCTCCTAAATAATGGAATGACCTTTGCCATCTTCAACATATTGGGAATGGTTGCTTCTCTGAATGTAAGGTTTGTGAGCATGCACAAGAGTGGAGATATTTCACAGCAAAATTCTTCAATTATATCGATACTTAGTTTGTCGTTTCCTGGGGACTTGCCTGGTTCTCCTGGGTCTCCAAAATAAAGGCTTAAATCAAAAATTTTTATTCTTACAAAAAGTTTGCGCCATGTATCTAGATTATACATGTGCAAGAATATTTTTTTTTATCTTGAATTTTAACACAAATATAGAGTTAAACATAAAAAAGTAATTTTCTTCTAGCCACTACAGCCCGCTCTTGCGCTGCACCAGTACTCTTCCATCTCACTTTCCTCCCTAGCTCCCTCTCATTCTCGCCAATTGAATACAATAAACCCTGTCACGTATTATATACCTTTGAATTCTGATTTCAAAATATTCAAACCAATCAAAACTCAATTGCTCGGTAACTGTTGAGCAAATTGCATTAAAACTTTCAGCATTTGTAGCTCTTATTAAGGTTAAATGGCCTGTAATTAACAATATTCCCAGATTTATAGTTTTTGAGCAAATTGAATTTGAAATTTTTGACAAAATTTGGACTAAAAGTCAATTTCGAGGCTCAATTGCTCTAAAACTTTTTGAGCTATCAAACTCAATTTTGCACTGATTTATAGAGAATTTAATGCTCTTTCCAATGGTATATAATTTAACTGAATTTACTCGAAATTTACCAAAGATATGGGTAATTGTTCATGACCATGTCAAGATTTTGAAATTCTCCAGAACCAAAAATAAGATTTTCTTTTTATTTTTGTTTCTACTTAGAATGGCCATTTAGAATTGATGTCAGGGTTGTTTTCCACTAATTTTGACCGGCTTTATTGAATAATAGTCAAAATTGAGCAAAACTAAAATATAAAAAAATCGAGATCTTCATAAGGGTATCCCCTTTGAATTCTGATTTCGAAATATTCAAACCTCAATTGCTTGGTAACGGTTGAGCAAATTGAATTAGAATTTCCAGAATTTTAATTTACAATATTTCCAGATTTATAGTTTTTGTGCAAATTGAGTTTGAAGTTTTTGACAAAATTTGGACTAAAAGTCAACTCTGAAGTTCAATTGCTCAAAAACTGCTCAAAAACTATTTGAGCTATCAAACTCAATTTTGCACAGATTTATAGAGAATTTAATTCTCTTTCCATGGTATATAATTTAATTCAATTTGCTCAAAATTTACCAAAGATATGGGCAATTGTTCATGACCATGTCAAGATTTTGAAATTCAAGCCAAAAATAGGATTTTCTTTTTATTTTTGTTTCTGCTTAAAATGATCATTTGGAATTGATGTCAGAGTTACTTTTCACTAATTTTGACCCACTCTATCGATTAATCTACCATTACGAAGTGTATCACAACAGTCATAAATCAATATTCTATACGTTCATGTAATAATCTCAATTTTTAAATATACTGCCCTTTTGCCCGTTCTGATTTTGTATTACCCTGGGATTTTGAATCAACATAATAAAACCTTCCTTCTGTGAAAATTTCAGCTTGTAACTCCGACACGCCCACAAAAGTCAAAATATATTGTAAGGAGCAGTCTAGTAAAATCAATCTCTTACCGTCATGTCCCAACTTGATTTTCTTCTTTTTACTTTCCAAGTTGATGGTACCCAAATTACCATCTTCATACCCAACAAATAAAGTTTCATTGTCAAGCCAAACACAACAAGTAACTTTCTCATCATGTTCAATCACATCTAGAACCCCTCCAACTTCTATACTCCATATTTCTGTAAATTTGCCTCCAAAAATAAGAAATTTAGTATCATCTGGTGCAAATTGTATCTTTTCTAGACTTTTCGTGTCTTTGCATTTAGTTTTCAAGTTTATAACATAGGCCACTCTGCCTTTTACCAAGTTCCATGTATGTATGGTACCGTCAGTTCCTAGTGTCAAGGCTAGTTTACCACTTGAATGCAAAGCTATATCTAAAATAGTGCCTTCTTTATGGGCTTTGGTCCACAGTTTTTCCACTTGCCAATTGCCTACCCTTACTATCGACAGGGATCCATCTAGGCTGGCTGATATAACATGCGAGTGATTGTTGGTGAATGCTAAAGAAGAAATTGTGCTTTCATGATGTGTAAGCATGCAATGCTCTTTTCTTGCTTTAAGATCGTACACGATTACACGATCGTCGGTGGCTCCAGAAGCTAAATAATTGCCACAAGTGGCCAAACATCTTATGCTGCCGCTGTGATCATGAGAAGCAAAACTTTGAACTAGGGTTTTTTGCTAAAAAAAATTAAAGTATAAGGTTTGGTTGTTGTTGGTTATATTGATAGGACTTACTTCTGATGAGAAGAGGTACCCTAGCAAGTATTCTTCGTAAGTTCCAACAATAATTTCAAACGTTGATTGGGACATTTTGCTGCATGCTGTTTTGGTTTTCTGTTTACAAAGTTTTGTGAGGTTATAATCTTGTACCATACTTCTTTTTTGTTTCAATTAATTCAATGCAATAAAACTGAGAGAGAGAAGTATATTGTAGGATAACTAATGCAAAACAATTTTTTTTTTTTCATCTTTTATGTATTTTGTCTATTATTATGATTATGAACAATAAATATGTGAATCCTGAAAAAAAAATAAATATAAATTCAATATTGAAAACGTCATTCTGAAGGGGAAATACTCTGAGCAGCAGCCAGTAGTGTCTCGTGGATTTCTTTGGTATAGGACACTTGAGCCCCCACAGTTGCTAAAAATTGGGGGTATGTTAAAGTGTTTTCGTTCATCCCTATACTTTCTGATCTGGTTGGAATTACTGGCAAATTGAGGTAGCGGTTGCTACTTTCAGCTTGCGACAGACATTTGATAGAAGTTTTCTGAAAAAAAAACATCTATTCAATAAAAAATTAAAACAAAACTAAATGCCTTACCAAATTTAGCTCTATTTGGTCACATATGGAGTAGAACTCTTCTAAGTTTTTGTCAAACCTTGGAATTTGAATATCTGGGGCTTTTCTGAAAAAGAAAGAAAAAACATTATTGCAAAATCATATTGAATAATCTACTTACTGAGATCCAGAATCAATTTGACTGTTTTGATTTAAAGTTTGGGCTGCAGTTTTAATAGTAATCTAAAACATGAAAGTTTTGTGATGTTATAATATCAAATATGAAAGGGACTTACAGCCAAAGTATCTCTCAAAGGCCCCACCAGTTGCTTGATCTTCGAAATATTATCCAACGGTTGTGGGGGCTGTTGCTGACTTTGCTGCTGCTGCTGCTGTTGTTGCTGCTGCATTTGCTGCTGAGCTTGTTGCAATTGTTGCTGTTGCTGCGCAACTTGTTGCTGTTGCATTTCTTGTTGTTGTTTCGCAATGTTGAATGGTATATTTTTATCAGCGAGTGAATACATCTTGTGTGTTTTGACTTGTTTTGAGAAAAAGCTAGAGGTTGGAGAAAACCACAAGAAAACTGTCCGGCTTCAAAAAGGACACTGAATTAAAGTCAGCCGATGACTTCGTAAGTAAATTACAGCAATTAATAGTACAAGATTCACAGGAAAGAATTATTATTTATTATTTTAGATTTGTTGTTGACATTTAATTTGTTTGTTCTTTCTTGTTGTTTACGGTGAACAGTGAACATAACCTTAATTAACTTAACACTTTAGCGCCATCTTGTATCGTGAACTGCAATCTGCGAAAAATTTACAGTTTGGTATCTTATTTTCGATGATAAGAAGAGCTCTATAGTTTCTAATCTGAAAACCGTCAGATAGCACCAGTCAGAAAACCTCTGAAAATAGTGATTTACTAATTTTTCAGCAAATTACAATGAAACAAAGAAAAACTTTAATTCAAAAAAAATATCAATAACAAACATACTGATTTTGGTTCTGTTGCAATACAAAATCTTGCACAAAGACCAATAACGAAATGCATAAACCATTTAAAAAAATTTAACTTGGCGCTGATAACGGGTCTCGAACAGGCCAAAGTGGAATCGGAAATCGTATCGTAGCCAAGATGGCGCTAGAATCGCCATGGCCTCCTTAGATATGATGCAATGCTGATGCTGACCCAAATGCTTCCACGTGTCGACAAAAGGGAGAGCACAACTTGCATGGAATTTCTACGAAGGCCTTATATTTGGATAACCATGAATAGAAGTCGACATTTCAATTAATCTGATGAAACTTTTCGTCTTGTCTTGATTTGAGGAAACAACCAATCTTTGTCGCCATTGCGTAAATTCCCTGTTACATCTTTTTGTTATCGTCATTAGCTGTCATGTTAAGACGTGACTATATTCACTATATTCACGTCAGTACGTCAACTATGTCAGTCATAATGAGTGCGTACGATTTGTCCGAACCGGTTAGCGTTAGTGCGGTGCAGTTATTTGCAGTTATTATTCAGGTGATCGCAGATTAGAAAAGTGTTGAAATTTCGGTTGAGTATAAAAAGTTGGAAACCATTTAAACTACACCGGGAATATGGATCGCTAAACGGTACGAATGGTGTAAAAAGTGCGACATTATTGACGGGTCAGGGTAAAAAGTGTCGGTAGTTGAAATTATCGTACGCATGTCATACCACTCTTTTGAGTCTTTTGTCAACTTGTATGGTGATGCATGTCGATGTCATTGTCATACTGCAGAAGCTATTTGCTTGTGTAATAATGGCCGTGTTCGTTTTTGTAATCTTTTCCGTAGATTTGCTCCGAAATTTTGACAGGCACGTGACTGGATCAGACAGTTTCAATTCACAAATCACGTGCCTGTCAAAGTTTCGGAGCAAATCGACGAAAAAGATGACAAAAACGAACACGGCTAATATCGTCTATGTGTCTTCCGATTTAGTATAAACAATAAGTTAATAACAATAATCTGAATTTTGATGTACACTTGGCCTATGATAAAACTGGTACATGCATTTTCCTATTGTGTTGTATCGTATAAATTGACCTTTTTTTATCACCTCAAAAATAACAAAAAGAGTCAAGGTGCAAGTCAGTGTCATCTTTAAATCAAACAAAAATGACTGCCGCAAATAGGGATGCCACCTTTGAAAGTTAGCTGAACCGGAGAAAAAAAAAAAAAAAACATGGAAAAAAAATTCTACAAATCTGATTACAGATGCATTACACTTTACTATCTATCTATCTCATCTATACACAAGTCCCCCGGCATCACCGGATGATGCTTGAGATTGGGAGTTGAGACGGTTGGAGGGGGAGATCCAAGGATATTACACACAACACAGGATAGAACAACCATAGGGTAACCTACAGTGGCTAAATAAACCTTTACATACAGTGGCGACAATAGAGGTCCCGCCGCCATCTTGTTCCCAACCTCTTGTTGCTTTTAAATAATAATATATAGGATTTAAATGGACATCTATCATAAAAAATTGAAATCGACATATTTGATGACCAGTATTAGGTTCATCAAATACGTTGTTTTTCATGATTTATGATGGATGTTCACCTAAATCCCATATATTCATATTTAAAAGTAACAAGAGGTTGGGAACAAGATGGCGGCGTTTTCAATATAAATATATGGGATTTTAGAACCAATCAAAAATAAGACTGCAATTGTCGCCACTGTGGTAATAGAGTCACTGTAGGGTAACCTATCCTCATAAGGCCTCTGTAGATCAAATCTCAAGTCCCCCACCACGCCAAAGTACCAGTGATGACGTAGACAGCACGTCATTCCTCGCCTTGGCATAGGGTGTTTGCACCACAGGCTATGATTCCGCTGACTTGCTTTATGCATACTTGGTTTTACTACCTACATTAATCAACATTCTAAAACAACCCTTTTTAGATCTTGTTTGCATCTTCCTCCTTGCCTATTATGTTATTCCAAATTAAATAATATTTTTCATCATAAATGTATATTTTAAACTACGACTGCTGGCGCAAACAGTTAACGACACCGTTGATGACGTCGGCAACGATGCAACACCATATGACCTTGATTCCAAAAATTGAGGCCGATGAGCAATCCTGTAGTAGTGTGTAATATCCTTGAGGGAGAACGTAGGCGATAACGAGTAACGACGCGGCGCGCGACGTGTCCGAGTCGGCGAATTTCTCCCAGAGCATCCGTATTTGCAGGAACAGTATTACTATTGCGTTGTTGCTAAATCCTATTTTTTTGCATGGACATAAGAATTATTTTTACGTTTTTTTTTTGTTAAGTGCGTTTTTTTGTTAAATGCGGTCTCGAATGCGGTTTAAACCGGAGAAAACACCTAGTAATCCGGAGCCCGGAGACCATATGTGAAAACCCGTAGACTCCGGGTGAAACCCGGAGAGGTGGCAACCCTAGCCGCAAATACATTTAAGCCGGAGTCTCATGTATCCGATTTCCGACGAAAGATGTCTGAAAAACCTTCTATTCTGACATATTAACATACGATTATGTCAGAATAGGTTTTTAGGACATTTTTCGTCGGAAATCGGATACATGAGACTCCGGCCTTAGGCGATTTCGCCTCAGATTGGTACCCCATTTTGGTCTGTCAAACAGGTACCAATCAATTTCGGATGTGAGAATGATGCCGTCATGACAACTTTGGTAGGCGCCTTATGACCGTTTGCGTCTGGCAAATGCTTTACCGCGGTTTGATGGGGTAGTGGAGGTTTGGTAGCTTTCTGTCTCAGTTCTAAATAAACATGTCAAAGTCAAAATGTACCATCGTCACAAAAAGTATTTGGGACAAAAATAATTCATAATAATCTCCTGAACTAATGCTACCATCATTAATTTTATTCATAGTTTGACAAATATTTGACACTAAATAGCAAGGATGATAAGCACTACTACAGGATGGCGTATCCTCATGAGGCCTGTGTGTAACAAATCCCCCCCTACCCCCCACGCCAAACAACCAGTTGTGACGTAAACAGCGTGACGTTTCTCGCCTTGACGTAGGCTGTTCAAACAGCTGACGACTTAGTTATGACGTCGGCAATGGTTGAAAACAGTTGAAAACCATTATGGCGGCGATTGCCAAAAACGAGGCCGATGAGCACTCCTTATAAACTGTGTATTCTCCTTGACTAAATAGTACAAGAGCTATGATGCTGTCCCAGTTACTTTTGGTGACGATCATGACGATGGTACCAAACGCCCTATACCCACTGAATCGGATGAGATTGTGAAGTTACGTCACTCACGTACGAATTGGTTAACCATATTCGCCTACCAAACCAAACAGGCAGATGAAAATCTGGGGCGAAATCGCCTTTTTGCCATTCAACTTGACAAAAACTGTCAAACCTAAGTTTTTTAGAAGAAACTTTTTGTTGCTAAGTTAGACTACATCAGGCAAATTTGAAAAATACCTATTGCCTGTACCAGTTTTATGATTGGCCAAGTGTACATTATTATCAAGGAATTTTGTACTGATAAGTCAATATTGTTACCCTGCTTAATCTTTTTGTTACCGTTCGTCATTAGTTTCCATGTTGAGACTTGTGAATACCTACATATATTCACGTCAGTACATCAACTACGTCAAACATGCATGGGTATATAGGGCAATCCCAAGGCAAGAATTTCCCAAGGTTCCTAAAGTTAATAGGTTGTCTGGTAATAATAGGTCCCTTGATGACGTCATATAGGGTGCCTTATGGTACGTATGTTATGGCAACCCAAGGTTGTTTGAGAGAGGTAGTTGCCTAATAACTTTTATGACGTCATCTGGAGTGTCTCAACATAATGCAAATCTCCATAAAACACCCCAGAGGACGTCATCAAGTTACCCATTGCCAGACAACCTTTTAACTTTAGGAACTTTGCAGGTAACCTACTTCTCAGGGTCGGTTTCTCAATAGGTAGTCATTTCCGGGTTGATTTCAATTCCAGCGCAAACGTGTCCAGTTGCAATGGGTACATTCAGGCGGTCCCAGCGGCTAAGCTCAGCCACTCAGCAGGAACTTTATTCTCGAAACAGGGTAGCAGCCTTTTCATTGGAACGAAGGTTCTATCTTTGTCGTCCGGCATAACACTGACAATGACAGAGCAGTCGTTCTTATGAGAAAGCTGTTCCTTGGTTTCGAGAATAAAGTCCCTGCTGAGTGGCTGAGTTTAGCCGCTGGGACCGCCTGAATGTACCTAATGTTTACTCTGGAGTTATGGTTAGCCCGGGGGTGACTTACTATTGAGAAACCGGCCCTCAAACAACCTTGGGGCAATCCAACGACCTGTCAGAATAAAAATTCAATATGGCGCAACGGTGGAACATCTCTGTGATGTGTGTTTGTTTTTTGTTTATACACTACGAAAATACGAAAATTACTATTACTACTTTTTGAAGAAATAGTAGATCAAGGATATTACACACTACATAGGATAGCCTATCCTCATAAGGCCTGTGTAGATCAAATCATTCA